GGGCGGGAGTCGCGGAGGACCCTGAAGGAGCTCTTGGAACAGGAGTTGTCCGCCGAGCCGACGAAGCCCGAGAGGAGCCGAGCCATCTTCTCCCACCGGGTGGCCACCCTCTTCCTGCGTTACATGCAGGTGGCACGGCGCCTGGAGGCCTGCTATGACCAGGTGGTGCATCCGCAGAAGCGCCTGGTGCTCCGTCCGCTGCTGGACAGCGTGCTGGGCCGCATCCTGGAGCTGAAGCAGGAACTGGTGGAGCTGGACCTTTCCGAGTATCACTACATGGACCACGTGCTGGAGGAACTCAAGCTGACGCCGGTCAGTGGAAGGCTGGGTGGGGCTGGCCCTTGCTGGAAAGGCCTGGGGAGGCTTCACTCTCGCCGTAGCACCCCCCCCCCCCCAGGCTCTGCTCCCAGCTGCCACCCCGCTGCGCCTTGATGCTGCCCTGCTGGGCTTTCCCTTGCAACAGACTTCCCTGCTCTCCACCAGTCCTTGAGCCAACCCAAAACAACACCAGCAAGCATGTAATGTGCTGGCTGCCCTGCCCTCGCCTCAGTCATCCTGCCACCCACATGATGCTTGCCAACGCTAATGGGGCTGTCCTTATTCTCAGTGTGGAGGCCATGAACAGGATTGGAGGATTTCTCCCACCACATGCCCTCCAGCTTGGTGCCCTCCCCTCCTTCCAAAGACCACCCCCCAGAAAGAAGATGTCCACCAATCACTCATTGCCTTTATTATAGGGAGGTGGGGCTAGAGCTGGAGAGGAAGTAAGTTTTGAGAGAGGGCAGGTTTTGCCACAGGAGCCCAACTATTTTCTGATATTGGGCTCCTTTGGGATATAGGTTTAGCCCTGCTCCAAAGCACCCCGAAGATCAGCTGACAGGCATGGGGAGAGTCACCCTGGGTCACACCTCCCCTGCCACCCTTGGTGATTAGCTGGTTTTTGGGCTGATCCAGGCCTCTAGGAGACCTAGCAGCAGCAGCCGCCTCTCCTGCTGCCCAGTGCACTGGCCTGAAAGACAGTGTCGGGCACCAGAGGGGAGAGATACACTCATGTCAGCTTAGAGTGGTCTTGGGCTGACCCCACCCCCTCGGGGCACCTGACTGCACCCACCACAGAATGACTGATGACACACACCAGCAAAACCTGTACATTATTGGGATAAGGAGAAAAACTGTCTCAGGTATGCTCTGGGGGATTAGGTGAAGGCAACACCTGAGGAGCAGGTAGAAAAAAGAGGTTGCCAGAGTATGCTGGGAGGTGGGGAAAGGTTTGGAGTTCACACGTTGCCACTTGTTTGCCCTTGAATTGGCATCAAGCAAGAGCAGCAGATAATCCAGCCATGTTGCCAGTCCAGCCTCTGCTGCCCCTTGTTCTAAGTCTCTGCCACATGGAGTTGTCCTGATGGGTGAGGGTGCCACTGGAGTAGGCAAGGGGGATTGGGTCTCCCCTCTGGCTTTGTGACTGAACCTTCAGTAGGCAGTGGGTCCCTGCAGCAGGGGTGAGGGGCCAGGGTTCTCTAGGCTGGGCCGTCTGCCTCTTCCACTCATTTGGGCCTCCCCCAGTTTAAAATAATATGAATGTATGTGTGTGTGTGTGTGTGTGTGTGTGTGTATCATCAAGTTGTTAATCACACTTAGCGACCACAAAGATAGATTTTATCCAGGACTATCTGTCCCCAACCTGGTCCTTCAGGGCTTTCAAGGGTGCACCCACAGTCACTCTAACCGAGTCCATCCCCCTTGCTGCTGGTCATCCTCTTCTTCTCTTTCCTTCCACCTTTCCCAGCATCAGAGCCTTCTCCAGAGAGCTGGGTCTTCGTATAATGTGTCCAAAGTAGGATAATTTGAGCCTGGTAATTTGTGCCTCAAGGGAGAACTCTAGTTTGATTTGTTCAATGATCCCTTGGTTTGTTTTCTTGGCTGTCCACGGTCTTCTCAGGAGTCTTCTCCAACGCCAAAGTTCAGAGGTGTCAATACTCTTTCTATCTTGCTTCTTCATAATCAAACTTTCAGTTCCATAGAGGGTCACAAGGAATACCACGGCTTGCACAGTTCTGATATTTTAGGTATAGACCCATCATGGCATTTGACCATGTTTTCCAAGGTCTTCATGGCTGCTTTACCAAGTGCTAGTTCACGGTG